TCCCAACAACTTCATATGAAAGATATTGAGGCCTCGGGAGGTTAAGTAATTCGCCTCCATGCCACTATAATTGTCTCCATCTACCTTTGAACTCAGATTTCTTTGCTCTCCCGATTGATGTCCTTTGTCAAGAACACTTTGAATTAATTCAAGCCAGAAAAAAATAGTGGCAAATGACATGCTTATGACATCCTCATTTCTAAAATAACAGTGAACTATCTAATTGATAGTATTGGCAGCTAATTTGAGAAATCTGTTAGTGATGATGCTAATGGTGTCATTTTCATTCAGATTGACAACTCGAGGTGTAGAGCATCAGTGATATGTTTTTAATATTATGTTCATAAAATCTGTGAAAGAACATCTGATATTTATAGTAAATCTAATGTTAAGAACTGGAAAAAATACATTTAAAATGTATGATACTTAGGTCAGACAAAAGTTTTATGAAAAGTGAGAATAGGCAACCAATAGTACTTATAAACTGATGAGAAACAGTTGGTGGATTTTCCTGCTTTTTCAGAAACGGATAAATTTGTCTAGTTTATAGGGATTTTGTGTATTTGTTTTGAGTCTAATGAGCAATAGGGAGATCAAAAGAGGCCTCTTTAACTTCCAATGAGAAAATTTTCATGATGTAAAAATAGATATTTTTACAAATACTGAGTTATTCTTGACCATATCTTTTTCTTTATCGCATTGTAACTTAAAGATACACTATTTAGAAATCTAGGTCTTTCAGAAAGTAAGACGAACAAATACCTGGATAAGTGGACTCTTGATAAACAAAACATTTCCTTACAAAATTTGTTCCGATATCAAAATATTTTATTTTATAATAGATGCATAGTTTTTTAGTTATTTCAAGATATTATATAATAGTAGTGATTTATTAGGTACCTATACATGATTTTATGAAAAAAAATTATAACATTTGGTGTAGAGGCAAATTTTAAGGTATTTTGAATGGAGAAGATATATTTATTAGTTAATATAATGCTAATTTTTATGCTAGAATATTTTTGACGTATATACATAGCAAAGAAAAATGAACAAAATACCGTATTACATCAGAATACATGTTTTTGAGCACTTATGGTGCTATTACAGGGTTACAATTTTAATTTCTGGAGAATGGGAAGAAAAGCTGTTCATTATACTTGATCTTTTTAATGTCCCACTCTATTGAAGATGTAGCACTTTGAAAATTCTGACTTTATGTGGCCATCTTAACTTCAGATGTCTGCCTCTTGCTGGCCCAAGGACTTGTCCTATTCCCAGGAGGGCTTTAACACTCATATTCTTGGTTGCCCTGACTGGGCAGCCTCCTTCAGGTCTGCAGCCTGACCTGGAACATCAGTGCTCATGTATATCTCTCACTGGCTTTTAGATGTCTTTGGCTTATCTATCTGTCTGTCTGTCTATCTATCTATCTATCTATCCATCTATCTATCTATCTTGGCAGATCACCTCTGCATTTATAAGTTTATTTTATTCAACATCCTGTTTATTTTTATAGATGAAGGTTTTTGGTTTATCTAGTGTGCTAGTCTATTGACATTCTTTACCAGAATCCATCATATTTTAATTTTTCCAGTTGCCTGTGTAGATTTTGGTTGCCAATGTTAAAAACACAAATAGGGGATTTTAACTCTTAAAACTGATAAGTACAAGAAAAGCAAAAGGGGGATTTATTAACTCTATTAACAAAAAAGTACAAGAAAAGCAAAAAGGGGGGTGTTATTAACTCTTGTAACTGATAAGTGCAGGCTTTCTGGCTTCAGACATGGATAGATTTGAAGCAGTGTCACTAGGGGTCTAACTCTCTTTCTGCCTTAACCCTACTTTCCTCAGTGTTGGATTTGATTTTCAGATTTTATTTCCCATTTGGCTGAGGAAAGTGATTGCTACTATTTCTAGGGTTTTGATATTTTTATAGCTTATGGTCTATCTTGTCTAACTTAGCATTTTAACATCAAATCCTAGGAAGACTTTTTATGACATAGTTGGGGCACTTTGCCATTTCTGAACTGGTTACTGTGGCCAGTAGGCTTGTGTTTCCCAATTAGCCAAAGGGGTCATGTGCCTAATTCTGGGATATAAGGGAGGGTTCGCTGTGATAGGCAGCCCTCCTAGATCCTCATGAGGAGTGGGAGGTTTGGTTCCTCAAAGGAAAAACCAGATCAAGTTCCCAATAAAAAAAATGCTAGGAAGGTAAATACCACTTATGTGCACAGCACATTCCTTATCAGGTCATCAGATCTCTTGTCAGAAATTTAAATGAAGATAATGAGTACTACTTTCAACGCTGTCAGTGTTGGTGATTGATCAGATCATTCTTCTCATCCCCCAATAGGGCAAACAAGCTGTAACTTACCAAACTAGATCCCTTTCCCTCCACTGTTAAGTCCTATCAGTTTCTGAAATCTCTGGAATCTTCACGTTTCTTTATATCTAACATTGATACTCTAGTTCAAGCTATAGTCCTCTCTCTTCTGGTCTACCAAAATTAAATCCTTACTAATCTGTCAGTATCTTCTGTGGTTCCCCTTCAGTCTGTTCTCCACAGTGTAATGTAGTGATCTGTTCCGAATGCAAATCTAATTTTTTATTTCCTGTCTTCCATTTATACTTCAAACTTTAAAAAATCTTTCATTAGAAATTATTAACTAGATTTCCATCTAGCCCTTTACCACCTCTCCCACTAATCTTGCTCAAGCATTTCCTTTTATATAAATGAAATTATACATTCTCATAGTACCATCTACCTCTCCCTTTAACATTTATTATACTTACGGTTTTACACTTGTGTTTGAATATTTGATGAATGTCTGGTTTCTACACTAGACTATAAAAGCAGATACCATGTCTGTTTTCCATGACCATTTAATTTCACTAACTAGAATGTGGCTTGGCTTTACAGTGGAAAATAAATATTTTTTTTCATTAATTAACTGATTGATTACTGTAAAGAGAGCTGCATGGTAACTAGGACAATTTATTTGTTTAACATCTGTCTCCAAAAGCTTTCTAGTCAATTGATTCTGGATGTAGACTCTCCAGCATAATCTGACTTGGAGGTTTATAGAGAACATTGTGCAGCTATCAAATGACAAGTATGGGGATGTTTCAAGAATATGTCAGTGCATGCTTATGCTCATGTGAAATAGAGTGAAAGGAATATTCAGATAATACAGTGGTCGGGTATACTGATTGAAATCAGCAAGGAGTAGGACTTTGGATTGGTTGCATATCTTCCCCCCCCCCCCCCCCGCATAGCAATACAATATGTTATTTTTCTAGTTGAAATCCCCATTTTCCTTTTGTGCTTTTTACATTCTATGTGGCTTAAAAATGTACTTGCTGCTGTGGCCACTTACTTGTAGAGAAGAAGCAGGAAATTTTGGTACCAACTTATTCCTCAGAAAGCTAAGACCGTTGTCTAAAGTTGGTACTGTACTATGTGGTCCAAGGTGAGGCCAGGCCTATTTCTCCCCAGCCTTGAGCATCATACTGGGGAAAATGATTTGCCATTGGATGGGAGGAAAGGCTATTTTTACTTCTTCTTCTATGGCAGGACTGGGTCCCTTCTTTTGTGTATAGTTTTTTCCTCTCCTTAGATGTAGACGATCTATTCCTCCTGCAGTTCCCTTGGGACTACTGCATGAGTAAAAATGAAATGACTTTATGTGAATAAAGATGAAAAGAGAAATTTAGTTGATATAAGTTTAGTTTCTTTGTTACTTTAAAGATGTTTGGGTTCACAATTTATATGTAATATTTCCTAAAATTGAAGTAATAATTTCTTCAACTGGTTAATAGCATTGCAGACATCAAATTGTCGAAGCATGGTTAAGAATATTGTGCATGTATACCACTCTAAAGTACAAGGAATATACTTTAGTGTAGTGGTGAAATACTTTTTACATCTATCATGTGAGTTAATAGAACAGTGGATAGAGTTAGGAGAAAGAAAAGGAAAAATGCTGGGAGTGGTGATAAGAGGATGCAGCATTTTATAAACATACTGAAAATATACCTGGAGAATTTGACTTTGATCTCAGTCTAAGTGCTGATTTTCAATTGCATTCGATACTAGTTTCACCTTTTTCCCTTTCACTTCCCATTAAACATCATCCTAATGCTTAACACAGTGCCTTGCATATTCCAGCCTCTTGGTAAATGAATATTTGTTAGTTGAATGAAGGAATAAATGGATGAAGAGTGAAAAGATGAATGACAAAATTCTAGACTTCACAATTCAAATAAATATACACATCAACTTCCCTGATCAAGATTTGAAAACAGAGGAATCTGTTAATAACTTAAATAACGTGAAAGTATTGATTTGATCTAAAATTTTAGCAATGGAGTTTTCAGAAGTTGGATTACTATATCTAAAATACAAGTGGAAATAATAAAATGAAATAAGATAGCTTGAAATGAGCTTATATTATGAAATATGTATGCCTTAATGTTGGGGTAATTTTTAAAAGACTTTGCTCTTATTCTAGCTTGACTTATTTTAGAATTTTACCAAGTAGAAATTGTTTTGAACTTCTACTTAAAATGAATCAGTTTTCATTTCTGAATTATCATAGATTTTAATTTAGTAAACTTTAATCAATAGATTTTACTATATATCATATATTGGGTTTAATCCTATATATCTAGAAAATATTTTCCCTGACATTTAGATCTATGTGATTAATATCATTTGTTGGTGTTACTTATTTGAATATTTGAATATGGTTGTGGTAAAGAGTGTGGACTATGGTGTCAGACAGATTTGGATTTAAATCCCCAATCTGCTACTTAGAAAATTACTCAACTTGTCAAACCTTAGTAAGATCTTTTATAAAATGGAGATGATACCTGCAATAAGAGGTTTTGGGGAGGATGTAATTAATATATGTGAAGTGCTTAGAACAGTATTTGGAATATAGTAGACATTCAATAATTTGGAACAACTGTTTTCCCCCTTGTGTTTTGTTCTGCAGCTTTCCCCACAAATAAACCAGATAAAGATGCAAGACATGTAATAAAAGTGGTAAGTATTGCTCTTATATTTGTATTTTGCATATATTTGACTTTTTCTTTTCTACTTTAGTTTTGTAAAAACGTTTCTCATCATAGTTTTCATAATTTTACTTATCATTAACCCTAATGTTATGATGTAGTTTCACATTGTTAAAATGTGAAGACTGGAGAACTTTGTTCTTTTGTGTTAACACTTACAACCCTTGTATCTTATCTAGCTATATATCCTCTTTTCCCTCCCCTACTTCCCCTTTTCCTTCCTATCTACTCTAGATGCTATGGTTGTTAGAGGCAGGGATGAGGTTTGGTTTTTGTTTGTATCCCCTGTATCTGGCGCAGTGAATGAAATATAGTAAGTAGGTACTCAGTAAAGGTATTATGTAGAACTCTTTTCCTCCCTGGCTGCCTGAAGACCAACCTTCATCATGAATGATACAGTAACCATCTGGACCAGGAAGTTCATGACCAACAGACTACTTCAGCGGAAGCAAATGGTCATTGATGTCCATCACCCTGGGAAGGCAACAGTACCCAAGACAGAAATCCGGGAAAAACTAGCCAAAATGTATAAGACCACACCTGATGTCAACTTTGTGTTTGGATTCAGAACCCACTTTGGTGGTGGCAAGATCACTGGCTTTGGCATGATTTATGATTCCTTGGATTACGCAAAGAAAAACGAATCCAAACACAGACTTGTAAGACATGGCCTATATGAGAAGAAGAAGACCTCAAGAAAACAGAGAAAGGAACGCAAGATCAGAATGAAGAAAGTCAGAGGGACTGCAAAGGCCAACGTTGGTGCTGGCAAAAAGAAATGAAGTGTCTGGCAGTGAGCTGGAGATTGAACTGCAGAAGGAGTAAAGATTCTTCAGTGACTATCTGTGACGGTTGTGCAGATTTTCATGAGAGGATTAATAAACTATAAACTTTAAAAAATAAAAATAAAAATAATAAAATAAATAAAAAATAAAGGTATTATGTAGAATGAACCACCAGGTAGTTTGCAGTGTATTGTAATGTGCCTGTTGGTACACATTGTGTGTCTGTGTATGTATATAGTTCTGAGTGCTTTTAGTAATTTCTTTCAATAAGAAGACTACTTTCATGTGTAAATGTGTGTAGAGATAGCATTATAATGTATTAAAGTTAAAAATGAGAGTCTTTTAAGTTTACTTAGTATTTTTTTGGAGATTTTTAGTGGAAATCTGGTGCCTGTGTTTTATAATAAATGATTAAAGTACAATTGTATAATACATATGTATATTCTTATTTTCCTAGTTGCAATACCAATTTTATCTTTAGGATAAAAAAAATAAAATAATTTTTTCTTTTCTTTTATAGGAGTATCAAGAAAATGGCCCATTATTTTCAGAACTTAAATTTTACCAAAGAGCTGCAAAAAAAGAACGCAGTAAGTAAAATTAGCAAAGCAATTTACTTCCATATATATACTTGCTAAAGTGAGTGTAAATATTTTTGTCTTTTTCTAGCCTTCTGGAAAATTCTTTTCAATTGGAAATGTTATTGTAAAATGATTCAGTTAACTGTTACAACATATAAAAAAAGACAGATGGTGTACAAGTTTTGATATTACCTGATAATGGGTTATATTACAAAATTGTTTCTACTATTTTACATATTGTTGTATTGTTGATTCAAGCTGACAAGAGTTCTCTAAGTATAAAAGATAATAGAATGAAATTTAAAAAACAAACAAAACACATCCACTTGGATAGGAAGGTTTCAAGGAAAAATAATTAAAATGGGCAGTAGATATTTAAACAAAAGGAATGATCTTAGAATGGATTAGGATAGGGGTATAGATATGATTAAACGTTAAGATTTAGAACATAAGTTAAAAATGCTACAATGTGAATGTTAACTGGAGCTGAGTATCAGATATGAAAACTACCAGTTAGAGGACTTGAATGTGAAATGAGATGAGCATATCTAAAGAAGCATTAAAAAAAATTATAAACACTATGTTATACATGGATTAAGTGAAGCTTTAAGGAAGTTCATTTGAATAATGACTTTATAGTCAAGGTCCTTTACATTATGTTCAGGAAAAAGAATGATGAGACTAGCCTCAATAATTAACTTTTTTCCCTTAGTAAAATCTTCTAAGCATTAATATTGTAGTCTTTACTGACTGCTTAAAGTATGTCAGGGTGACAAATAGAATCCATTAAACTTGATTGTTTATCAGTAGAGCTGTCTTAATCATTAAACATACATGGTAGAAAAGTGAAAAATTAAATAAGCTACGTGATTGTTTAAGTGGATTTGATTTTTTTCATAGCTACATTTAATAAAAAAAAATCTGTATAATACACTTTCAGAGTAAGAATTTATCTGCCCAATTTCTGTTTTTTATTTTTTTGTTTGTTTTCTACCATGGCTTTAGATTGTTAAGTAATAAGTAAGAAAATCCTTTGGTGGTTAACATGTTATATTTAAAAATTTTACTAGCATAGAAGGGAATTACCTTTTTTCATGAATACAAACATTTGTGTATATGATAACAATGTATTTTATGACTATGACTACTTTTGGTTACAACATTTAATTTAAAAATTCTCTAATAGAATTTTAAGCCATTAGATAGATATATTTAATTTATAAAAATTTTTTAGGAAGGTATTATTTCTATTTAGGTTAGCTAAATAAGTTTTAACATCAATGTAAAAGTACGAAATACCTTTTTAAAAACATATCTTTTTTCTGTTAAATTTGTCTTTACAGTAAAAAAATGGATAGAACACAAACAACTTGATTATTTAGGAATTCCCATGTTTTATGGATCTGGTCTTACTGAATTCAAGGGAAGAAGGTAAAGTGAAATTATTATCCTATATAATAAAATCCTAACATGCAAATTGACCGAACGGCTGATCAACTAGTTGCTATGATGCACTCAACATAGGAGCTGCCCCCTGGTGGTCAGTGTGCTCCCACAGGGGGAGTGCCGCTCAGCTAGAAGCCAGGCTCATGGCTGGTGAGTGCAGCGGCAGTGGCGGGAGCCTCTCCCACCTCCGCGGCAGCGCTAAGGATGTCTGACTGTCGGATTGGACATCCCCCGAGGGCTCCCAGACTGCGAAAGGGTGCAGGCTGGGTTGAGGGACACCCCACCCCCTGGGTGCACCAGGCCTCTAGTAATCAAATATTGTCCAATCACTGTTATTAATGTAGCCAATTAATTATCAGTTGCTATATAAGAAATACCCAAACTGTGCTGTTTTTTAACAACAAACTGATATTATCTCTTTTTAAAAAAATATATTTTTTATTGATTTCAGAGAGGAAGAGGAAGAGAGAGAGATGGAAACATCAATGATGAGAGAGAATCACAGATCAGCTGCCTCCTGCATGCCCCCCCACCCCCTGCTCCCCTGGGGGTCAAGCCCGCAACCTGGGCATGTGCCCTGAGCAGGAATTGAACCATAACCTCCTGGTTCATAGGTCAATGCTGAGCCACACCGGATGGGCAAACTAATATTATTTTAATTTCTGTGGATCCATCTATATATATAAAAGGCTAAGTGCCCATCCAACTTGCAGTTATGATGCACAATGACCACCAGGGGGCAGACAACCCAACTGGTAGCTATGACATGCACTGACCACCAGGGGGCAGACGCTCAACGCAGGAGCTGTCAAGCTGCGGTGATTGGAAGCGGTGGTTCTCAGGTGACGCACCCCAGGACCAGAGAAGGGGGAGCCCGATTCTGGGGTTTGTCACCAGATATCTGCCCTCTTGTAATCCAGGACCCCTCGGGGGATGTCGGAGAGCCAGTTTTGTCCCAATCCCCGCAGGCCTGACCTAGGGGCCTCACCTGCTGGAGGGACCCCATTCACTCTGCAGATGCCCTTTGAGCCGTAGCACTGCCCCAGGTGCAGCTGATCTAGGAGGGACTTCGGAAGGTTGGCTTCAGGGTGTGTCTGGCCCATCTCGCCCAGTCCCACTTTGCCGGCCGCCTTCTAATTAATTTCCTGTCAATGTGCATGAATCCGTACACTGAGACACTAGTTATCTATAACTGCCTTATCTGAATGGGTCTAGCTCAGGACTTCCTATGAGGATGTAGTCAGCTGTCTCTTGGGCTGCAGTCATCTCAAGGCTAGACTGGGGAAGGTTCTGCTTTAAGTTCATTTATGTGGCTGTTGGCAGGCCTCAGATCCTCTCCATGAAGGTCTCCCCATTGGTGTTACGAAGACATGGCAGCTGGCTTCTCCTCGACCAAGTAACTCAAAGGAGGGGGGAGGCGCACACATAAAAAGTCACAGTCTTTTTATAATCAAATGTGAGAAGTGATATCCTATCGCTTCTACTGTATTCTCTTCGCTAGGAACAAGTCACTAAAAGTTGCCCATACTCAAGAGAGGAGAATTAATGAAGCTCTATCTCTTAAGGAAAGGCAAAACAATTTGTAAAAATATTTTAAAAACCACCAACTATAGCTAATCACCACATACACTAGTAAAGCACTGATAGTAATGTTAAAAAGAAAAAAAGAAATTCTGTCATTTGTTAGGTACCCATTTTGGCCTTTCAACAGCCTTTTAAAATAGGTGATACTTTTTTCTTAGGTGAAAAATAGGCTCAGAGGTTAATGCTTTCTTTGCTCAGATGGTCTTTAAATACTTTAAATGAAAACTAAATGAACAAACAATAATCTAACAAAGTAAAGGGCTGCCAAAAAGAGACTGAATGGCTAAGCATGTTACATCCCTATCATGCAATATTGTACAGCTCCTAAAGACAGTCAGAGCTATACCCATTGACTTGGAAGGATTTCAGTGAGATACTACTGAAAAACATATGATGCAGAAAAATGCACATAATAAGATCGCATTTTTACAAAATGAAGACAAAAGTTTCTATATGTCTGAGCTTGTGTGTGTACACATGGATAGATATAGAATAGGGTCCTATGTGGGTGTGTAAGTGAAGGGAAGAACAGAAGGGGTAGATGAAGGAAGGAAAAAGTGAAGGAAGGAAAAAGTGCATTTAAGAAAAGGCACGTTTCTAAATGTATAGAGACAGTACATATGATTTTCTAAGGTCAAAAACAAATATAAATAACATTTTCTATATGGACAAGTAATTTGTTCAAGGCTATATGGCGAGAAGGTAATGGAGTCAAAATGAATTAAATTCAGACTATTTAATATAGAAAGATTTTTTTTTTATCCCCTGTGATCTAAGACAGCGGTTGCCAACCAGTGGTCCGTGGACCACTGGTGGTCTGTGAGGTCCGAAAGGTTGGCGACCGCTGATCTAAGACAGTGTGATCTAAGCACAGCGTTCTCTTCTAGGAAACTAACTGCAAAATAAAATACTGAATAACATCTTTCTGCAAAAGAACAACATTATTAATGTATATTCGTTCTCTAATGGTTTATATTGCATTGTTCTCTATTGTTAGATTGGGTATACTTTTTCTTTTTTCAGTTCATAAATAGAAAGTTTCAGGAATTGCCATCTTAAGATCTCTTTTTGACATCTTCCTCTTACAGTTACAGATTTATGGTAATGGAAAGACTAGGAATGGATTTACAGAAGATCTCTGACCAGAATGGTACTTTCAGAAAGTCAACTGTCCTGCAGCTAGGTGTTCGGATGGTAAGAAGGAATGACTTCTTTCACACGGCTCTATTTTCAGATTATTTACTTGTTACAAATTGTTTCCCTTTGTGGAATTATCAGAGGAGGAAGGATTATTGCTCTAGAAATGTCACTTATTGAGAGTAAGGGGCTATTTTGGTGAAATTGATAACAGTGGGCTCTGTAAGTGACAGAATGTGCTGTGTTTGGCACTACAGATTCGATTAAGCATTGGTTCCACCGTCTGAGTTTTCCCACACAGCTTTGTTTTACATACCAGAACAAGCTTGCATTCCTATAAGAATAACATCTCTTTTGTCAGTTATATTTATAATAATGCAAACTACACCAGATTATATTATTTCCCATACTAAACATGATGGTATGGGGGTGCTATACAGTTTTTATTATGAGTTTGGGATGGTGGCAGTAATTAGTATGGCAATGAGTAATATATACTTTGCCAAATAAGAAGCAATGAAATCTTAATAGCACCCGTGCACACATTTTGTTTATACCACATATTTGTCTTATCTTGTTTGTGTTTGGTTTGCCTAAGCTCCATTTTATTTGTTTCCATCTTAAATAGAATGAAAATACTCATGCCAGGTTGGAATGTAGCAAATAGAACACATTAATTTTCCCATTTGTCCATTCATCCATCTACCCAGCCAGCAAATGATAATTGAGCACTGGGTGTTGGTTACATGCAGGGCTCAAGGGATTCAGAGATGAAACAGGTTTATTCTCTTTCTGTGCAGAGGGAGAATGCCTTTCTCTGTGCTGATGGACAAGATGTTTTGTTCTGGGGTCCCCAAAACTTGATTTATAATTATTCCTTGAGAAAGGAATTGCTGCGTGGGCTTCAGGATTATTTCAGTTTAGATCTCTGATTTTAATGAGTTTTTGCTCTTTTTTAAAAATATGTTTTATTGATTGTTTACAGAGAGGAAGGGAGAGGGATAGAGAGTTAGAAACCGATGAGAGAGAAACATCGATCAGCTGCCTCCTGCACGCTCTCTACTGGGGATGTGCCCGCAACCAAGGTATATGCCCTTGGCCGGAATCGAACCTGGGACCCTTGAGTCCACAGGCTGACGCTCTATCCACTGAGCAAAACCGGCTAGGGCTGAGTTTTTGCTCTTGGCGCAGTGTGATTCGGCCACTGGGTTGTGAGGAGTACAGGCATTGTTAAATCTTGGTTTTCTTTCATTAGAGTTTCAATTAAAACACTTGATACTAAAAGGTCATTTTACTTAACTTTTCTCAGGATGAGTAGCCAGTACATGTGCTACTTTAGAAAAGATAAATAATTGCAAAGCATGTCACTGTCATTATTAATATGAAAAAATAAAAGTACATGTATTCCAAACTCAAAATCTTCAAGTGGATCATGAGTTCTAAATAGACATTAGTATAATCTTATTTATTTCTTTTCACAGTTGGATGTACTGGAATATATACATGAAAATGAATATGTTCATGGTGATATAAAAGCAGCGAATCTACTCCTGGGTTACAAAAATCCAGATCAGGTAAATACAATATTAAACTTTGCTTTCATTAAGAGTCCTCAAAGTGCCATACTGAGATATTCAAAAAACAAACTCCTAATCCAGATGGGCTTACAAATGAGGACGTAACATGATGAATGTTGTAATTTATCTTACCTTGCTTATCTAACTTTTAATGCACTAAACTAATAAGTGATTGGATGAGGAAATTGAGACTCAGATGGTTAAATAATTTGCTAATGGGCAACTAGTTCACAAGTGGCTGAACAGGAATTTGACCTGAGCAAATACAAAGACCCATCAGTATCCAGTGGGAGAAGAGATGGGTTTTATGCAGAGAAAAAATAAAAAGTTGTCACATTCACTCCTCCGGTGTGTAAACAACTAAGCTTTCAATAGAGCAGCATTTCCAGTAGAACTTTCTGTGATGATGGACATATTCTGTATATTATTGTCCAGTGCAGTAGCCATTAGCCACATGTGGCCATTAAGCATTTGAATTGTGGGTACAACACCAAATGCTGGCGAGAACATGGGGCAACAGGAACTCTTATTCACTGGTGTTGGGAATGCGAAATGGTATGACCACTGTGGAGGATCACTTGGTAGTTTTATAAAACTGAACGTATTCTTAATATTTGATTTAGCAATTATACTCTTTGGGATTTACCTGAAGGAGTTGGAAACATAAAACCACACAAAAACCTACCCATAGGTATATACAGCAGCTTTCTTTGTAACTGCCAAAATTTGAAGCAACAAAGATGTCCTTTAACAGGTGAGTAGGTAAATAAACTGTAGCATATCTGGATAGGACAAGAAATAGATGAGAAAAAAAATTTTTTTAAATATATTTTATTGATTATTTTCTTTTAGAGAGAAAGGGAGAGAGAGAGAGAGAGAGAGAAACATCAATGATGGTTAACTCATCTGATATTCTCCATATTTGGAATTTTAAAGACTGACTTCAAAATGTACACTGCTTACCTTCTTTCTTTTGTCATCTTCAACATTTTTTTTGTTGAAAGGAAAAAATTTTAACTTCATATGTGGAAAAAAGTCTTATTAAAAAATCTGGGATTTCTTATGTACTTCTTAAATTTGCTTTATTTTAAGAAATCTTTTTTAGATGAAAGACTAAAGAAAATGCTTGAATAGTAATCTTGTATTCAGTAAAAGAGGAGGAAAACAAGTGTACTGGTTTGGTTAAGTTTTTTAAATTTAAAATTAAAGTATATTAAGAAACATCTACTTATAGAAGAGATTTTAACATCTTCAGAAAGTATTTTATTTAATATTTTAAATAAATAAATTCATTTAATATTTTCAACATTTACTGTGTACTAGGCATTATGTTATATTCTTTAAAAAACTAAAATTCCTAATTTATGCTTCCCTGATAGATACGTTGATATCATTCTCTTAGACTACCTGTTTTCTAATTTCTGTTTTTCACCTCACTGACTTTGGTATATAAAAGGGTGTTGCACAGTTGATTATTAGAGTTGTGCTTATGGGTGCTGATGTGTATAGAATTTAGAAATCGAATGTGCTTTCTGATTTCATTGCTTATAAAGGCACCAGAAATGCTATTGAGTGGTGGTTTTGCCACTGGGAACCACCCATTTAGCAGTACCTCCCAGTGTCACGAGGGGAGAAAGTTGAACCATTTCAGGTAAAATCAGGGTTTGGACCCATTTTCTTATCTCAGAGTTGCAGGTGCTCTCTCATATACAAAAGGCCACCCCTTTGTTGATCAGAGAAGCACATTGTTTTTCGCACCAGCTTGTATTCCTGCTCTGACATGAAGCCTTTCTTGGTGGGTCGGGTTTATAGTGATCCTCTCCTTTTGCGATTTCCTTTAGCTTCTAACTGTATTTTAAACACATAAGCATTCCAGTGTCACTGCGTGTTGTCTTATGTTCTGAACTAGAATGAACTCCTTGAGGCTTATAGGTAGGTGCCCTTCTCTTTGCATTTCTCACAACACCTAGGTTAGTGTTCCTTTTGGAATAATCCTTCAAGAAATACTTCACTGGCTTCTCTGGATGTGAGGCCAGTCTTGATGCCGCACCTGCTATGTCCCTCAGCGCCCGGAGTACCTTGATGGTTCAGCGCCCCCATGCCCCATGTGCTTCTGTCCCCCAGACCGCCTGCTCAGTTGAAGAGGAGGCCTCACAGGGAGAGGAGGACAGTTTTCCACATCAGTATCAGGAGTGATAAATATGCCTTAGGAAGCCTATCATGACTTAGGGTTGTGCTGGACTGACAGTCAAGAGACCCGGGTTTAGTCCCAGTTCTGACACGGAGCAGAATTGCAGCCTTCCGCAAATGATTTAACCGGTGTGGACTTTGGCTTTCTAGTGTATAATATGTGGGGCTTTGACTAGGGTGTCTCAAAAGTTGCTTCTAGCTCTCAAATTCTGTGATTCTCTGAAAATGTGTTTTTTTTTAGTTTTGTTTTTTATTTTATTTATTAAATTTATTCGGATGACATTGGTCCACATGAACATATAGGCTTGAAAATGTGTTTTTCAAGTTCATTGCAGAAGGTGATGTTTCTAATAATGTTTCCCAGGTGTCTTTCCTGTTGTTGCATAGCTAAAGAAGTTCAAGTGTTTAAATTTAAGCAAAGTGTAATGTTCTGGGAGCAGGAATCATAGCAACTGACCTGTGTCTTGCGGCAAATACTGACTTTCAGATTCCCTAGGATATCCACAGGGTAGGGTCATAAGCCTCATTAAAGCTGCTTGTTCACTGTTTGCTAGAGGGAATTCTAACACAATCCATTTATCAATCACAGTTACTTGTAAAATGGAGTGTGAATGTGTTCGTAAGAACTTTGCATGATATGTGTACAAGATGTGTTTGCCATTTAGAGATAACCTTTTCTTTGTTGAACACACATGAAATTTAGTCCTGTAACATATGTCCGTATTTCATTATCTCCAGAGGAGTGTTGTGTGTCCTAGCTTGCTGTGATACCCATGCTATTACTAGATGGCACAGCTGGTGCTGCTATTAAATTTGTGTGGTATCAGGTGGATCGGGTTATACTCTGGATTAAAGCACATGGTGGTGTCTGTAGTCACTTAGAACAGTAGTGAGAGTCTGCTGTATATATTTAGTTGAGTAAAGAGACATTGAAATTTGTATGATTTTAGTTACTTGAACTTTAAACATTTTTTGAGTTTAATATTATTTAAAATATACACTTTTTCTGAATTTTTTTGTCTCAATATAATTATTTGTCATATGAATTTGTTGTTTTTGAAACTTAATAACTTGTATGTATGTGGTATTCATAGACCAATTCTGTCACTATTTTGGAATTCTTTCAGTATTATGGGTCAAATGAAAATAAAGTCATCCCCAAATTTTATTTCCATCACATATTTTATAATGTGTTAATACTACTATTTTAAACTCTGTTGTCTGATACTTAATAGTGTTCCTGTTATCAGAATTTATTCTTTTTTTTTTTGCTTAAAGTAACATGTGTGTATTAAGATGCCTCATTTTAAATCAGATTAGATCCATATTTTTAAAATTCTCATTTCAAAATACTATTTCAATGACAGCTATATGAATGTGGATTACTAAGTCTTATTGGAGAATGATGACTAGAAAATATTGAGAAAAACAACCTCATAAATATAATTTAAAGCTATTTTCTCCATATTCAGAATTAGTATTATGTGAAGCTTACTTGCCAGGATTGAGAGTCTGAGACAGGTGAGAATCTGTTAAGTATATAATTTTGCCTCTCTAAGAGGAAACTTTTTTTTCCTAATTTAAAAAAAAATATTCCCAGTAATAGAGGATTCCATATACCCATCACTTTGACCTAAAAATTAAGGTTTTGAAATTTTGTTTTATCTGTTTTTTTGGCTGAAATTTTTAAAATAAATTATAGATATCAAGAAGTTTTGCTTCTAAATACTTAAGTATTTATTGCATTTCTGAAAAACAAGGACAGTTCATCATATTATAGCAATGCCATTAACCACACTTAACAAAATTACATCATTCCTAATCTATAATAACTAAAGCATAATATGCTAATTAGACTGACAGCCGAACGACCATCCTGACGTCCTTCCGGACGACCTTCTGGAAAAAAACAGGGCTAGCGAGGGCAGAGACAAACCACCACGGCTGCGAGGGACAAGGCAAGCCACCGAGGCTGCGAGGGCTGAGCCTCTTGCATGCATTTTGTGCATCAGGCCTCTAGTTATCAAAGTTTTATTTCTTCCACTTTCTTCTTTACCCTAAAATTCATCAGAAAATGGGAATACAATTTCTATTCTAATTGTACTTAAACTCTCTTTTCCTCTTTTTCAAAAATTATATATTGCAGTAGACTCCCTGCCACAACTTTCTGTAATTGAATAGCCTATATCATGTGATCTCTTTGGCCCCTTTTAGCTTTCATTGCCTCTGACTTCCTGGATAGAACCAGTTCTTGGCCACAAATCTGACTTATGAAACTATTGGTTCAGAACAAGATGTGATTTTTTTTTTTTTTTTTTTTTTTTTTTTAGTAAATGTCCATCAAGAGAAGAAGTTTCTAGTCTTGTAAAGGGGAAAACAGGGATTGTGTTTGATTCACTGATGTGTATCCAGCAGCTGGCACAGAACATGCATGTAATAAGCACTCAATAAAGAAGTAATGAGAAACTGAGTAGGTTAATGCATAAATGAATTTACTACTCAGTGTTCAGGAATAACAGGTAAAGCCCAACAGGTACAGCCAAGTTCAGCAAATAAGCCATTTGTAGACTTCTTAAATTCCTATTGGGAGAAGTCTACCCAACTGTGTCAAGAGATCTTTCCTGCTTAATGTAGCCATTATGAGTGTTTTCTTATAGATGGAGCTCTGTCAGCATATTCACCAAGAGAAACTGAGGCTGGAGACTCCCGTTGGTTGAATTGTGTCCCCTCACGAGATGCTGAAGTCCCAGACCCTAGTATCTGTGAATGTAAACATACGGAAGGAGGATCTTTGTGAGTTAAGATGA